CTGCCTTCCCTTGATGCCCTGAGGAGGGGTCATGTTCTGAGCAGCCTCTGTCAAGCGATTCATCTTATCCCTAACGGCCCTCGTCTTGATGCAATCCCTGATAGCAGTTGTGAAGTTGGAATCCAACACCGGGTACTTGCATGGCCCTCCAAGAGCGTCATAGTCGAGCCTTTCAGTTTCTGAAATCCACGCTAACGCGTAGTCAGAGTCGAAGCTGAAAGCGTTCCTGACTCTCTCCTTAACCTCGGAAATCCATTCCCGAAGCTTATCAGCTGTCGGTTCAGGAGGCAACGTGATAGTGTTGCATTTGTGATGGTACCGATCCTTATCAGCAACGGTTGAAATCAGGGCCCCTATCGGGGTACATGACGTGATCCTGCAGCTCTCACATAGCCTAGCCGGTAATGGACAGCACATTTCACAAGCCCTCATTCCACAACCAACGCATGGGACCAAAGGAGGACCGGTAACGGGGACCCTGAGGTTACACTTAGTGCACCTGTCTCGCCCGTCGTCTCCTCTGATTGTTTCAGGAAGAAGACCGCCATCCCCTGGCCTATCGGCACCATTTGCGCCATAGCCATGGCACTGACCCGCTCCAGGATTACTGGCATGCCCGATGCTTGCAGGGTAGCCTGGAGCAACATTGGGCTGACTAACGCCAGCACCAACGCCCTGACTGTGGACACCACCCCCAAAGGCAGGACCATAGAAACTCGAACCACACTGGTTGTTCTCAGCTCCATGAGAGTCAGCAGCACTACCATAGAACCCGGGTGCCCCACCAGGGTACCCCCCGGTAGGAGCCCCACCACTCGGGCCTCCAGGAGGTCCAGCGGGACCTTGGCCCCCGCCAGGTTGTCCAGGTCCTGGTGGTGGAAATGGAGCATGTCCATGACCACCGCTTCCGCCCCCACCTTGGCCGGGCGGTCCGCCCTGCCCGCCTCCTCCCCCAGGAGGAGGAGGAGGAGGGGGCGGTCCAGCTTCAGCGCGTTCACGCCGAATATGGCAGCGCGCACATCGCTCGAGGCCGTCACTGCCAAAATGACTGTGATCCTGACAGACGTGGTTCCCACAATCCGTGCAGAAATACATTGAGATCTCCTGGGCATTTTTGCGACATGCCCAACATTTCATCTTCAAGAAGTGACAATTGCAACAGTCCCCATCGTCGCCCTTGCAAAGCCTGCAAAACTCACGATTGCACGTAACACACGTGAATTCAGCGTCGGGGTGCCTACGATCATTCGGATCGTCGAGAGCACAGATCTTCGGCGCACCTGGGCCGCCGGTACCGGGCGTACCTCTTGCGGCCGGTGCCGAGGCCCGTCCACGATCGGATGGAGTTCCAGGGGTCCTCCAGCTATCGCCGGGACTCTGGATATCAGCATGAGCCCTGCTCCCAGGAGTCCTCCAGCTATCGCCAGGACTCTGGGTTTCAACATGGGCCCTACTCACCCTACCACCTCCAGGATTATGGTTAGGGTTCGGAGAGACGCTCCCGCTATCGCGGATCGGCCTGTCCGGGTTCGGAGAAATGCTCCCGCTATCGCGGATTGCCGATTCCGGACCTCAGATCCCCTATCGGGGACGGCAGCAGGCCTCGGGCTCCTATTCCTACCCACACCCCTGCTTCTGCTGTCAGCCCTCTCCCTATCGGGATGAATGGGATGCCTGCCTGCATGAGAAGAATCGACCCTACCGGGCACATTTGGCAAAACATGATCAGCCGAATCAACACCCCCACCCGGTCTCACCGGAAGGCCAGTACCCCGACCGTTACCTTCTCCGGGAGTGGGCGTCGGAGACCTGATTCTATGTCCCTGCCCCGCATAAGCATCGAATCCAACATTCCGTCTTTCCCTGGGCTGTTGAGGGTTCATCCGATTGTCCTGGACACCCTGAATAATGTCAGCAGCCTCATCAACATGACCTTCAATTTCAGAGAGCTGAGCCATGATTCTGTTGTTCATTCCATTAAGAGTACGCACGTTACTCTCGACAGTAGTGATTCTCCGCATTGCGCCTTCAAGCGTGTTCCGAAATGAATCGAGTTCACGCCTAACGGCAGACCGCGCTTGATCACTATTCGCAGGGAGATTACGGATCTGTCCTCTGATGTCATCAAGGACCCGGCTCAGAATTCCCGATCTCGCTTCATACTGCTCAACATGGGATTTCACGGTCTCAAATCTCGCGATGACATCGTCATGATCCCGATGTTGGCGTTGAACTCCGCGAGATAGATCCTGGACCTTTCGATTGACTTCGTCAATTGCTTCATGCCAGTCCTGCGGGGAAACAGGCCCTGATGGTCTATCGACCGCCTGGGACCCCCTCCCACTTTGCAGCCTCGACATTCGATTATCAAGAATGATTTGCTCTTCATTGATACCACCAAGAGATTCGGAAACCCACTTAGCAAACTTCTCGTGTTCAAGAAGAACCTTCTCAAGCTTCAGGCTTAATTCCCTGAAATTCGCGTTCGCCCCACTGCTGGCAGCCCTATCGGGCAATTGCGCAGCGGGGCTCAAATCCCATTCACCTGCTGGCGTCCGCATCCCAATGGTTTTCTCTACCGAGATCATCCGTCCCTCGAGCTTGTCTAAGTCCTTAAGGATCTCATCCTCGGAAGCAGCATGGCTCCTGCGGGTGGCCTCACGATTCTCTTGAATCATCTGACGAAGCTGACCTGTTGCGATTTCACTGTCCTTAACAGACTCATGAACCTCGTGGGAAAGCAGATTGATCCTCTGATCCACGATTTCAGCCTGTTCATCGATGGCTTGCCTCATAATGGCCTTGCTGTCAGGAATAACTTCGCTGGCAAACCGTTGAACTATCATTCGCATCCTACCGGCATCAGATTGAGTCGCAACCTCAGTCGCCAAACGATTGACCCTGTCTTTCGTCTGCTGATTCTCATCGCTCCACTCCTTTCGCATGGAACCCACCTGACCGTTCAGTAACCTGATTTGGTCAGCAAAGATATGGAACGCTTTCGCGACTGAACTAGACACCTCGCCCCTCTCGAGCATCTCCTGGATGTGTAAATCAAACACCTCCTTTGCCCTGGCGTCACCTGACTCACCGGAAGAATGGGACCTGTGTGCTGGAGGAGTTGATATCTCGATCCTCTCAGGAGCCCCACTAACTCTAGCAAATCTTCTGGGGTCGTCTACAGGACCTTCACCCTGGATGGCCTGCTAGGGGTAGATCCCCTTCTCCGGCTATCGCCAGATCGGGGATCAATGTTGGATGCACGAGATTCGGGAGTAGAGTGAATGTGAACATCAGCAGGATCAGGCATCTCCTCATCCTGCGGAGCTGAACCCATTGGTGAGGGGCTAGCCCTCCTCGCCTTCGACCTATCGGTCTCAATGGCCAGGGGTGACGGCCTCTTCGCAGAAGCACCACGCTCCCGGGCGGTCGATCCCCATTCAGGTGTGAACTCGTTGCTGGACCTTAGTGCTTCGATGTCACTGGGATCTCGCCCTAACGGGCTAGCGATCCACGGACGATCCTCGATTCCGAGTGCATCGGCAAGCCGACCATCTCTCGCACCTGTCCCAACGACATTGGCAGCCCGCTCAGTGATCCTTGGCGAACCAGTATCCCGGTTCGAGTTCTCGTCTCTCTGATTCAACGGACCTCCAAATGTAATGTTGGGAAAGGGGGGAACATTTGGGGTATCACCAATCACTGGGGGACCTATCGGTCCCTCCCTGTCATGGATGGCCTCCAATCCCCGAAGAACTTCCCGGCTATCTCTGGCTCTCTCTCTCTCGCTCCGGGCGTCCCTGTCAACACGAAGGTCCCTGGTAGCTCCACGGGAGAGGCTCCTGGGCCTCGCAGCAGCACGGATCCTAGCATTTCGGCGTGATTGGTCCTCCTCCTCATCACGACGATCCGCATGCGGCATAATCTTCATCATTATCAAACTCAAACTCGGCAGCGGCAGGGTTGGGCCTATCGGCATCAGACTCCTGCTTTGCGCTACTGCCCCAGCCTGCGGTTGATTTCAACAGAGCATCGTATCCGAAGCCTGTGAATTTCCTCTCCTCATGCTCATCAAACTGACCTGGATTTTGAGAACCAGTTGATCGACCCGAGATACCTCTCGGAGCCAAAACCATAGTCCCTGGTCCCTGTGGCCTGTCCTCAAACTCATCCGAGACCTGCGATTCACCTGGAACAAGAGATCTCGGGGTTCTGGTCGGCATGGCCTCCGGGTCGTCCGAATGAGGGCGGGCCATGTTCATCGCCATGCTGATGAAGTCGAATTGTCCGCGCCTGTGACCTGACTCAGAGCCGCTCCTATCGGAGCGAACTCTTTGTGCTTGCTCATCATCGGTGGCCTGACGGAAAATGCGATCGTCTCCATCGTCGGTGTACCTGCCACGGCTCCTGGGTGTGTCCCTACCGGGATCTTCACCCCTGCGGTCCTGACCTGCCGAACCTGCTTCGAAATCCTCATAATCGAAGTCCGGTAGGTCCTCACCTGAGCGGAGGCCCCCTAGGATGGCCTCCTCATCCACGACACTCCTGTGTGATCGTGGGGTCGACATAGAGCTTGTAGTTGATGGTCTCAAGCGCGTAGGAAAGTCCTACGGCTGATAACCTGTGATTCGGGCACGAGCCTGTGCCCAGGCAATGGGTAAGTTGGGGTAAACAAGCCACAAAAGAAAGGTTCCCCAAAAGCAAACCAATCCCCGGTCCCAAAGATCAGGGTTTCCCACACACCAGAGAACAACAACCAAAGGAAACAAACCAAACAAGAAAAGGGTTAACCCGCAACCTTGGTCGACAACAGGCCGCACGACTGGTCCCTACCAACCTGGCGGCGGCCCGAGGTCTCTTTCTCCCCCGAGATGCCGTCGGTCGACGCAGGGGCTCGGCGACGCCCATTCGAGGCGCGACGGAACCCAAAATCTTGAGCCAAAACACCACAGGTCGGTCACTACCGCGACGTCCCTGATGATGATATTAACCATGGCTAATCACAATATATATATGTATAATAAAAGAACACACCAAAACGGACCAAGCTCCGTTTTAAAAGGGCCAGGCCCACCTCGCCAAACCCGCCGAAGCCCGGCCAAGCCGCCCATGGAGTGGCCGTGGGCGCCGGCGTCGTGGATCACCGCCACGTCCCCGGGGGTGGGGTCCACGTTGAGGGCCCGGTCCACCGCGAACTTGTCGTTGTTCTCGCAGAGGCCTACAGCATCGAGGAGATCCCATGGCTCCATTCAGAGGGCGGGGGGGATGCCATTGATTGTTTCTTCTAATCTGGGCATATTTGGGAAGTGGGGGCCCAATATGTGTTGTTCTCGCAGGGGCCTAGGGATCCATGGATGAGATCTAGATCCCATCGGTTTTTTCCCAATTTGGCGCGGATGTGGACCATATGGGCGGATGTGGTTAAACTAAATGGTGCCCAAAAATGGAGCGCAGAGGCCTAGGGATCGCTGGAGATCCCATCGGCTCGGCACGAGGGGGTTTGTGGACCATTGTCGCAGAGGCCTCTGGATCGCTGGAGATCCCATCGGCTTGGCTCAATTTGGGGGGGGGGGGGGTGGGAGATGCGTGGACCACGTTGAAATGGGAGATTCTGGTGACATGGTAGTTTCCTGTTGGACCCCTTTCAAACACCAACCAAAACGGGGTCCACCATGTGTAACACTCATCTGGGAATGGGAGGAAGAGCAATACTTGTTGTTCTCGCAGAGGCCCCTTGCCCACAAAGCATGGGGATGAGCGGGGGCGGCAAACAACTGGGCGGCTCTCACAACAGGGGTACAGTACAGTGGTCGGCTTCCCGGGCGGGGTGGGTTGGGATGGAAGTGGGCGGGGTGGGGAGCTTTGCAATGGACAATTTTTCGAGTGGGCATCGTGTGCTCTTGGCGGCCTCTCGGATGCGGGAAAGACCGCTACCGACAACAAGTACTAAGGGAACACTGGAGATGTACCATCAATGAAGTTGTGGGGGCGCCTGAAATACATGGACTGAGGTCGGCTCAGAAGCAATGTTTGGTGAACCGTCTGGCAGTCCTTCCCTTGAAAGGCGTGAAAAAAGAACGGCCTTGGGCCTTGTTGGGGATGGCGGAGTTCGGACCAAGCAAGAAAAAAGGAGGAAACCTCCCCCCCAAGTATGCCCAGCCGGCCTCCCACCACGTCGTAGACCCCCTGCTTCACAATGAGGTCCTTGGCATGATGTGGGCTTCTCGATGCATGTGGCCCAGGTCACCTCTCTTGATTCCAGCCCCATGGTTTCACAAAGGGCTCAAGTGCCCATAGATTGCATGGGTGACAATCACACCATTTTTCTGGGGTGTGTTCAAAATGGGGGGATCCTCAATCCCCATCATGAGACACCACTACACCAAGGACAGCCGCTACCTTCTGGCGGACGGACCATGGATTGATTGGGACAAGCCCACCCCTACTTGGGAAACGCACAGAAGGGCCCAAATAATTCGAATGAGTTGCTTAAGTAAAGCAATTCCATGAGCCGCATGTTAATGTGCAAGAGGCTATCCACCAAGGACCGACCGCGAGATTGCGGTGGGCCAAGATATCATTGGAATGATCTGGATCTCCATCCATGTTTTAACCGCAAGGGACATTTAGCTATTGAAGAAACACCTTCACGTCACTCGACTGTGGAACAATTTTCCTTGCTGATAGAAGACATTTGTTTACTTTTGCAGTACTCACTTCCTGGACGCATGCACAAGACACAACACATGGTTTGCCACCAACATGGTCCAGACCCTTTAAAATCATCCAGGAACTCAGGGAGTGAGTCACCCACCAGAGGGCCCTTTTTGGGTCTTCGGGCCGCCCCGCAGAACGAAAACGACACACGGCGCATCGGGTCGCGTCGGCGCGCGCATCGGTCGGTCCGAAGCGGTCCTTGGAGTTGTCGATCCGCTTCACCCGGCGGTCCGGCAGCCCAGGCACCGGCTCATTGTTGGGGATGATGGTGATGTGGTGGTAGGCGTTGTACCTCATCTCCATCGTCCAAAGCGACAAAAGGGACAACCTAGAAAAAACAAAAAAAACATGTAGAAACCCAGTGAAACAGCTGGTAGAGGCGGTTGTCCTATTTTGGCCAAGATGCAGCCTGTAAAGAACCCTGTCAAGATGACCCTCTACATTGTGGTTTCATGGTGAGACGCACCTCAACTAGTGCTTCTCAGCGTGAGCACTTGGTTTGGGGTTGGTGGGATGGGTGGGATTCCGATGGGGGTTGGGCATCATGTGTTGAAACAACCAGACCCTGTGACCCTGTTTTCGGGGAACGCAAAGGGGCCCGGGCCACCCGATTCGGAAGCAAGCCCGAGACAAGCAGAACCCCATCCTGGTTCAACACCTCCGACCAGCCAACAAAGCACAGGCCCATTGCTGGAGCTCTTCTCCCGATTTGGATTGGTGGCTTTGCATGTCGGCTAGGCTGTCACCCAAGACGAGGCACTTGTTCAGCACTGACAGACCTTTCTGTTTCGGGGCGTGGGTCAGTCGGTGACAAAGGCAGGCGATGCAATCATCCCAGTGGACAAGCTGCCCCTTGGATTAATAACAACGTTTGTGCCAATCGTGCAGGCCATCCCGCAATGGCTCCATGCCCCCGACAAAGGAACCCGCGGATTTGTTTGGAGGCATCAGTCATCCCCCCCCCCATTCCTCATGGCCAGGCACATCCCAGGACGCATGAGGTTCGCCATGCAGGCATCAAGCCCGACCTAGCACAACAGCCCTTGTCCAGGGAGGTTGCAACGTGTTGGAGCCCTGACTTAAACCCCGCCAAAAAGAGCAAACTAACGCAGTTGGACTTGGGAATCTATATGGAATAAAGCCACAACTCGCCCTCCAACTATAGTGAGTCCCTCCTTGGGGCAAATTGCATTGGACCCTCTGGCATAGAAGTGCATCCTCCCAAGAATAGTTAGTTGTTCCATCAGGGTTCCCTCAAATTTTCCGCATGGCAGGCGACAGAGCCACCCACCCAAACATCTTGGCGCGTTGCTTATGCTGCTGCCAGAAACCGCTCCACAAAGGCTGACGATAAAACACATTCGGAGATCTGAAAACAGGTAGTTCGTGTATAACAAGTATAAACGCGTATCACACTTCGAAGTGCCACAATCATACTTTCACATACACACAACTGTGCGTTTTCAGGCTCCCCCGGCAAGCCATTCATTCCAAATGGAATGTTGCATGCTTTCTATGTGTTTATGTTTCTTTGCACATGGATGCCTATATGCACAATGTACGCATATGTGTGCCCTTTTCTGGGTGGTGTGAAGGGACGTCAAAAGGACAACCAGCATTTTGGTGTGTGTGTGTGTGTATCGACAGTGACCGCCTCTCCCGTGTTCTTTCAGGGCCATTTCCATACCATGGATGCTTATAAATCTTATAAACCACCAACACCATCTTTGATATACCCCTTTTGTACGTGGTAGTTCTCAGCTTCTTACCAGTCCATAGCTCCCAAAACACATACCGGACAATTCCCCTCGTTGACTCTCGGCGTGGGGCGTAGTTCTTGTAGATCTTCTTCTGGTGCACCACGCGGCTAAAGAGCATCCCTGAAGGCCCGGTGATGTATCGCCCGCACTCCGTGACCACCCGCAGCTTCAGGCCCTCAGTGCTGCAATGTTTCCAGCTGCCCTCTGATTGGTGGTTTGGATTGGCGGCTTGGTGAAATGGAGGAGTTGTCCTACAAGAGCCAGGGGCTCAAATCCCCAACCAATCCAAACCACAAAGTAAGCGGTACCTGCTTCTCGTTTTGGTGAGGGAACTGGGGAAACGGGTTACGTACTCCCCTCCCCAAATGAACGGAAGAAACCTGTAAGTGCTTCGGGTCCGGGACCCAAGAGGAGTTGCCTCTAAGACAGTGGGGCTTGTGGAGTTCCCTATCTGTTGGAGGGTAAATGCTGGCAAATGAGAGGGTAACGTCGAGTACATCTCTACCCTCCTTCCAATCATGGAAGTGGGTTCAGAAAGGAAAGTAGTCTTCAACAACTCTCCGGTCGTCAGCTTCCATGGTTGTTCAAAAGGGTAGAGTACAGGGATCAGCGGTAACTATCGACCCTGTCTCCAACAATCATGCAAGCGACCAGTAGTCTTCCAAAACCCCCTGTCCACTTCCATGACGGTTGGAAAGAGTGTAACTACTGTGGATGGACGAAATCCTGCACCACTTTGAATCTATGGGAAACCATTGATGGATTTCGTCCATCCACAGTAGGGATCCACTGGGGAGGCATTCGATTCACCCCAAACCTCCGGCTTGCTGCACCCAGCTGTGATACCCTCGCTAGGTCATCCAAGTGACTTTATCACTTTGAAGCGAGTTCCTTGGTAATATCAACCCTGCAACTCCTTGTTGATTTCACATACAAAAAGAAAGAAAACAACTAATCAGAGGGTCCCTGCTCTTTTTCAAAGGGGAGTTACCTTTCTTCTAGCAACACCTGGCTCACTATTCACTGCTCAAAGCCAAGATGTTTCTTTAAAAAAAGAAAAAGAAGATGCTGGGGTCGAGGCTCCTTTTTCAGAGACTGGCTGAAACAAAAACCGACCAAGCCCCCTCCCCCCCAAAGAAGGACTCATCTAGCAAGAAAGGAAAAACGAGGCCGGAGCTCGTCAATCCATAGTGAAACGCCAAACAATCCAACATTGAACGCACTCCATGAAAATATTGTCAGAGACTGGCTCCAAAAAAAAAACGACCAACCCCTCCCCCCCCGCCCGAAAGTTCGAAGAAAATCCGGCGCCTTCGCCTCGATCAGCTCCTTGTAGACCCGGTGGATCCCGGCGCCCACGGCGGCCACGTCCACCGTGGTCTCCTCCGGGCGGTAGGGGATGCCGAAGCCGCCCCCCAGGTTCACCAGCCTCGGGCTGGGAGTGTCTTCTGCGGTTGCCCGGTGTTGGTGTTGGGGGCGGAACCCGTTTTTGCGGGTTACCCGTTTTGGGGGGTTACCCGTTTTGGGGGGTTACCCGTTCTTGAAGGTTAACCGTGTTTGCGTTTTTGGTGGCTTGAACCAAAGGAAACCCATCCGTTTGCGGGCTGTTTTTTGATCCGGGGGTTGGCCCATTTTAGGCCACAACTTCAGCCTTAAGCCTTCCTTGTCCATGTTGGGTTGTCCCATTTCAGGGCACACCCCCTGTGGATACACCCTCTTGGACGAAATTCGCTGGTGCAGGATGTTGTATATCTGGATAAACTACGCAAAAAAAAGCAGTCATTTTTAATTTTCCCTCCACATGGTGGATTTCATACACAAAACTTATGCTGCGGCATCATCTTGGAGGCAGGAACGGAAATTTTCATGGAGCTGCCCCTGAAAGAGGATCAATGAACTTCAGACTCCCACACGCGCACACACACACACCCACCCACCCGCCCACCTGCCCGCCCGCCCGCCCGCCCGCCCGCCCGCCCGCCCGCCCACCCACCACCCACCCACCCACCCACCCACCCACCCACCCACCCACCCACCCACCCACCCACCCACCCACCCACCCCCCCCCCCCCACCCACCCACCCACCCACCCACCCACCCACCCACCCACCCACCCACCCACCCACCCACCCACCCACCCACCCACCCACCCACCCACCCACCCACCCACCCACCCACCCACCCACCCACCCACCCACCCACCCACCCACCCACCCACCCACCCACCCACCCACCCCCCCCCCACCCCACCCCACACCCACACCCACCCCACCCCACCCCACCCCACCCACCCACCCACCCCCCCACCACCCACCCTACCACCACCCACCCTACCCACCCTACCCCCCCACCCACCCTACCCACCTCTACCCACCCTACCCACCCCACCCACCCACCCTACCCACCCTACCCACCCTACCCACCCTACCCACCCTACCCACCCTACCCACCCTACCCACCCTACCCCCCCACCCTACCCACCCTACCCACCCTACCCACCCTACCCACCCTACCCACCCTACCCACCCTACCCACCCTACCCACCCACCCACCCACCCACCCACCCTCCCACCCACCCATACCACCACACACCCACACAAACTCTGGGTTGATGAAGGGAAGGGGCTTCGTCCCATTGCATGTGGAATGCCTCATGGCAACAAGGGTTCGGCCCACCACCTATTCAAAAAAGCCCTTTTACCGCGATTGCTTAAGCAACCTCATCTAGGTTTCCTGTTTGTCAAGCGGGTCGCCATTTTCCGTTCAACCAATTTCAACCCAAAGCCTGTCAACCCCTGTCCCCAGACTTGGCTGTCAGACTAGCTGAGCGGATTGTGAAAGTCACGTGTTTCTCTTGCTAACACATGCGCCGAGCCGCTCGATCTGGATACCCAGACACTCGTAAATCTCCACCGCCAGGCCAAAAAGCATCCGAGCCGTCTCCAACAACTCGTCCGCTTTCAGGCCTCAGGTCCGGTCAGTTTTGCCAGGTACCGCCCTATCACTTGCTGATTCTCCGGGAATCATCACGGATTTTGGGAGTGAGCTCAGGGACCCCCTAACAAATCACCCGCATATACCGGCTGATTTGGGGGTAAAGCAGGCGTTGTTTGGACGCATCCTGTACGCCCTGGGTCATCGGGCCTTGGTATCCAGCACCCGGAACTCTCCATACTGTACCCAGGTGACAACAAAATGAGAATTCCATCTGGACTTTTTTGGGCATTGGGGCACAACAGGTGAACGCTTCCCCACCCAGGTTGCCCAGGTTCCCTGAGGCAGATGGCCTTTCCATCGCCAGACAAGGGATGATTCACAGGGTCGCCCAAATAGAACCAGGAGGCGAAGTTTTGCAAGGTTGATGGTCGGCGTTGGGCCCAACATTATGCAAAGCAACGGTGTTTCTTCTTTTGTGTGCCCTCTCTTTAATATTAAGGGTAGTTGGCCACTGAAGGGAAACCAAAGGGGTTGAGAGCCAGAAGAAATTGCGCGACCAAAGCAAGACCCTGCGCCGGAAGAAGATAAAGCAATCCAAGAAGTTATTCATGTTGTTGTTCTTTGCTGTTCTTTTACTTTGCTTTGGGGGGGATAGGCCTGCATGTGAAACTCCCGATCATAGCTACTGGTGCCAGCCGCACTTATATCTTGTGGGCCGGGCAAATCCATGTGGCTGCAGAAACCCACAAGCTGAGCCAAGCAATCCCTGTCAAGTGTCCCATACCTTACACCCTATTGGGCTGCAACCCAAAACCAAAAAGCTCGGAGAAACAAAGCAGCTGGCCGGAGACTGTAACTATGGCGTGGCGCTCCACAAGATAAAGACTGACTTGAGAGAGAACGTACCGAAAGCTGGCGACATGGGGCACAAGTGCCAACGCTACCTTTTCACCAGCCGGCCTACTCTAGACAAACTGTCTTGGCAGGTATCGCCTCATTCCCCCCCCACCCTCCCAAGGCAAACGCCCCTTCGAGCCCAGCCCTTCGGGAAGATTCGGAAACGAACCAATCGGCGAACTCCGCCCCGCGGCAGTTGGACACCACCATGGCGTGGAGGCCAAAGCGCTTCACGCCCAGCTCCTGCGGAGCAAGTCCGAAGCGCCGAGCAAAAAGGCACCGGGCTGTTGGGCGCTGAATTGGCGCTCTGGAAGAAATATGCACATTTAAATATATATATATATATAATATATATATATATATATATATATATATTGCGCTCCGCTGCAAACTAAATAACATGAAACCCACAAAGGCGGGCTCTGAAAAGGAGATTCCTCTTGGTGAAGTTTTGGGTTCCACGTTGAACTGCAGGGGAGTAGATCCCCTTTTGGTGGCCCTTGGGGGAAATAAAACGAGGCTTGCGTGGCTCCAGCGGTGAAAGTAGATGGCACAATTCCCATGTGGGTGAGGGGATGACTAAACCAAAGCAGGGGAATTGTGCCATCTACTTTCACACAAGTGTGGGAGGTCTGGAAAACATCTAAAATGATCCATCCCCTTTTGGCGTTCCTTGGGGGAAATCAATCTTGAGGCTAAATGTTCTGGGGAAACTTAGCATGTCCCTCCCAAATGGACCATGGACTTAAGTCAGGAAGCCTCAACTCGGCGAGAACCCAGCAAAACTTGTCGACAAGAAGTGGGCCATGCTCCCCGATGCCTCAAGCGAACATATCTTACCACCTTTTTTTGTGCGCTCGCCCCCAACAAACCCCCCCCCACCAAAAAAAAACGATCCCCCCCTCCCTTCCCCCCCAACCAACCAAAAAGCAAAAAGGGGGGAAGCAAACGTCCCCAATCACCAGGTTACACACGGAAAACCTCTGGTGCGAGCCTTGCACCGGCGGTAGCCCTCAAAGAGCTGCTCGCTGGTGGTACCGAACTTGGCCTCCTTGGGGTCGCCGATGATCACCTCAGAGGGGTCCTCAAAAGGATTAGGACCTCTAAAAATGAGGTGGTTCCTTTTGATACCGTGCATGGACGAAATCCTGCAGCAACTTGAAACTATGGGAAACCATGGTTTGTTTGGTACTTACAGGGGAATCATCATTCCAGAGTTTCTTAGGTGGTTCCTGCTGACCTAGGTTCTCCAGTGGTAGAGGGGTTAGAACAAGTTATAAGGGTACCAACTTTTTGCTGTAGTCAAATTTTATTAGGGGAACCCTCCCCCCCAAAAAGGGTAAAAGGGCAATACTGGGGGACCTAGATTGATATGGGGGTTGATCAACATTCCTGGCCCCCTAAAATGACCGTGTCATGAACTTTTTCGTTCAGTGGGACATGTCATCTTCTTTGTGGTTTTCTTCCATGGGCATTCCATGTGCAGGACCTTTTGATCAACCTCCATACCCTTTCAAATGCCAATCAAGTGTGTGTGTGTGTGGTGTGTGTGTGTGTGTTTGTGTGTGTGTGTCTTTGTGTGTGTGTGTTTGTGTGTGTGTGTGTGTGTTTGTGTGTGTGTGTTTGTGTGTGTGTGTGTGTGTCTTTGTGTGTGTGTGTGTTTGTGTGTGTGTGTTTGTGTGTGTGTGTGTTTGTGTGTGTGTGTTTGTGTGTGTGTGTTTGTGTGTGTGTTTGTGTGTGTGTGTGTGTGTTTGTGTGTGTGTTTGTGTGTGTGTTTGTGTGTGTGTTTGTGTGTGTGTTTGTGTGTGTGTTTGTGTGTTTGTGTGTGTTTGTGTGTGTGTGTTTGTGTGTGTGTTTGGGTGTGTGTTTGGGTGTGTGGTGTGTGGTGTGTGGTGTGTGGTGTGTGGTGTGTGGTGTGTGGTGTGTGGTGTGTGGTGTGTGGTGTGTGGTGTGTGGTGTGTGGTGTGTGGTGTGTGGTGTGTGGTGTGTGGTGTGTGGTGTGTGGTGTGTGGTGTGTTGTGGTGTGGGTGTGTTGTGGTGGGTGTGTTGTGGTGTGGGTGTGTTGTGGTGTGGGTGTGTTGTGTTGTGTTGTGTTGTGTTGTGTTGTGTTGTGTTGTGTTGTGTTGTGTTGTGTTGTGTTGTGTTGTGTTGTGTTGTGTTGTGTTGTGTTGTGTTGTGTTGTGTTGTGTTGTGTTGTGTTGTGTTGTGTTGTGGTGTGTGTGTGTGTGTGTGTGTGTGTGTGTGTGTGTGTGTGTGTGTGTGTGTGTGTGTGT